TATTGTTTATCAGCTATTTTATTTCCTGATTCAAAGACATATTTTTAACAATTTAATACACCTAAAGTTGGTGTGTTACAAGTCATTTAGCAGTGTGTTTTCTCAGTAGTATGTAAAATGATGATGTGTCCTTATCATTAATGGTGTCTTAGATCCCATGACATGCGGGCGATTTCTCAGCTACCCCTAAGAACCGCTTTTGTGGAAGGCCCTGCCGAGAATGCAGCCCCACAGCACCTCAAACCTCCGACAACAGCTGGCCGGAGAACTGCAAGCGGTCCCACCCACGTGGGAGAGGGAGAGCACGTGGCCTCCCTGACCCCAGCGGAGGCCCCACCATCGCTCCCATGCCGCTGCGTGTTCTCCCGCGCCTCCCGCCTCCACGGGCATCAGCTGTACCAAGCGGCCACTGCTGACTCCATCACAACCCCCCAGGCTGCCAAGTCTCTCACTTCCTTCCTCCATGTTTCTGAACAATTTTCGGAAAGGTCACGGATTTTCTATTCACAAAAACCACCCACCTCTCCGCCCTTGCACACACTGATGCATACTTTCTCCCACGCCGCGAATGCCAGGCCCTCCAGCACCAGCAGCAAGTGGCGCCTCAGCCCCCAGAACGTGAGTGAGTCGTGGCTGGGAAAGAGCTGGGGAGGGGGCGTCTCACGCTCACACAGGCTCCTCACAGAGCCAAGTAAGTACCTACAACAGTGAGCATGGCCACTTTAACTCTCTGATGGCTTACAAACTAACTTCTCATGAGAAATCTAACAGAAAATACGGTAAGCAAGCAAGCTATTTCGAAAAGCCTAATTTTGACTTCGCTGTGTGACACAGTTTCCAAAATTCATATTTCGGTATTAAAAGTTTCTACAGTGATCCAACTGTATTTAACCCACTGAGGGCGTTACAAACACCTTTTGTACATATATTTACGCATGAGCTCCCCACATACACATGTGAGGACGTCATATAAAAATAGTCCATTGAAGTCTCCACAGAGACTCATCTCAAACTCCTGGGTAGCAGAAGTAGACAAAGCATAGTTGCAAGTTCAGGCCACAGCTTGAATATCAAATTATAGTATGAAAAGGCCGAGTGTTTTTGTGGTGAAAGCACCCGAAATCCTTAGAGGCTAAAAGGAAGCTCAGAAAGAGAGAATAATGCCCCCAGGAAGATGGCTCAGGGTGGGGGGCAGCAGTTCTTTCTCTCCAAAAAGCTTCGAATGCCCCTTGCCTGCTGCCGTCTCTATCTTCCTGAATGACCCCCTTTTCCTTCCCTACTTCTCGGGGGCCAACTCCACCCTAGGGCCCCCGCCTCTCTCACTAGGCTTTTCATCAAAGGTTCTCTATGTTTCCGTTACAAATATAGTCCTAACACATTCTTAAAGGGGATACTAGTAATTGAGGAGCACTTACTGAGTCCTAGAGCAGCTGGCCACATTCTGCCAGCGTATGAGATGGTTATAGGTGACAGCCTGATGGGGACAGATTTATTTCAATGTACATTAGAAAAAAATATATGGCTAGTGCCTGTAATTTTATAGACATAGTTGCCCAAGAAACGTCTCAGTTAAAAATTTTGATTTCAAGTTGATTTTTTAAATAATTAAGTAAATAATACTATAGGCAAAACCAAACTCTTGATTCTCCTGCCCCCAATGCACGCCTCTTCCAGGATTCCTCACTTCAATAAAGGGCACTGCTGTTGCTCCAACCAAACCCTTGCTGTCCTTCTCGATTCTTCTTCCTCTGTCACACACACCCCACATCCGATCCTTCAGCCCTTCCTCCAAAACACAGCCAGAACCCAGTACTTCTCACCACTCCTCTGCCACTGCTCTGACCAAGCCTGTCATCTCGCACCTGGACGACTGTGAGTGCCACACTCAGCAGGTCCCAGGCTTCTACTCTCGCTGCTCGAGCGCTTCTCGATGGAGGGCATTCTCCGATCACTAATCAGATCGCATCATGCCCCTATCCAAAACCAGCTGAGTTTCACATCACAGTTGGAACAGAATCCAAAGTCCACACCAGGATGCACAAGGCTCCCTCGGACCTTGGCTACTACCACTTCCCCAAAGCACTCCGCTCCGGCCACACTGGCCGCCTCCACGCTCCCCAGGCGGGTAGGCCTTTGCATCCCTGCTCCCTCGGCAGGAAAACTCCCTCCCAAATTCCCCGCTTCACCTCAACAAATGTTGAGGTCTTCCCCTACCACTTGGTCTGAAGCGGCACCTCACCGTTCTGTGTGTGAATCCAGACAATCACAGCACCGCCTGATGTGATGTTATAGATATTATTATATCATCCATTACCCGCATCTGTTGTCTACTATGAGTCTCCCTCACTAGAGTAGATAGAACATAAGCTTCATGAGGGTAGTGTCCCCTGCACCTACACGGTGCCTGCCACATAGTGAGTGCTCAGCGACGTTTGAGGGACTGAACTGTAGGCATTCACTCATAGCAGAACTGAAGGTGGAATGTCACGACTGGAGTGTGACCATGCCAGGCTAGGAGTGTAACATGTTAGTTCACTTATTACTCACGATACTTATGGAAGTCCTCTCAATTGGGGACACCAAGGTTTAGGAATGTTAAGTGACTTGCCCAAGGCTGTACAAGAGTCATACTGTTTTATCAGGCTGCAAAGAGCCTAGGTTCTTTTGAACATAACACGCTATCTTTAAAAGCTCTCCTTTTCTTCGAAAGACCTTTTAAAGTACCACACTGCCTGGGGACGAAAGGTGAAACTCCTCAGGATGTCACTTCACTAGGCACTCTGCCATCTGGCCCCAGCGCACCCTTCCAGCGCCTTGTCGGCAAATCCTCAACCCTTCCTGCAAGCCTCCACCGGCCTGGTCAAATCAGGCCATCCACAGCCCCTCAGCAAATCGACACCAGCATGCCTTACACACTGTGTGAGTGGTGTGCAGCTCCTTCTCCCAAGCTGGACCGCAGATGTAGCGAAGGTGGGCACATGCCTCGTTCCTCTTTCTATCTCCAGGCCTAGTAACCAAACTAAGAGCCCTCACAGCCACCTGCTGAATGATGTTGTCCAAGCAGCTCTCACCAGACTAAGGACAGCAGAGGGCAGGACAAGAAGCCCTGCACCTCGCCTGCACACTCAGACGCCCTGTGAGCAGAAATGTCTTGATCGACATTAGGATGGGAGGGGCCTTATGCAGAAGTCCCTGGCATCCCTTTGCCTTTTATCGAGATATTGCATGCTTAAAGTTAACCATCCTATCCATGTTTCAAAGATTCCACCGCCACCCAGGAAAACATTTTGGGGCTAGAAAAGTTCATCTTCCATCTAAACTGAGTCCCTTGGGCCCCATCACACCTAGAGGGGAAGGAAGCTGGCAGCGTCTCCTCAACAAGCCAAGTCAACCTACAGCAGTTATCACTTTCAGCATGTGCCACAATCCAGCCAGTGTTTCTGGAATGTTTACTGTAATAGGGACATACACTGGGGCCCTGCCCTCTGGGAGCTTACAAAGCAGAAGGCCAGGACTACCTAACCAACTCCATGACAAGGCCAACCTGCTAAGCAGCAGTAAAAAAGGGGGGAGGGGCAGCCGAAGGCCTGGAGAGGAAGAAAGCTACCCTGGCCCGGAACTGGGAGTTGCTATTTTGGAAGCACAATTTCACAGTCTACACAAAGCCTGTCATTAATATTTAGCACTGAATGTCGCCCCTTATACTCTAATTCTGATGCTGCAAGACCCTCAAAGGGCAGGAAGGCCAATGTTGAGCACTGGACCTAGCTACAAATGCTTTCCTCATTATTTTACAAATATTTATTGAATGCCTGGCACCTCGTGATGGTAGGTACTGGTGACACTATTCATTGCAGATCCCAAGTTCAAGGAGTTTGCTTTCCTCATCTGTAAAACAGGAATAATCACACTATCTATCTCATGGGACTGCTATAAAAATTAAACTTACAAATGTAAAGCAACTGGCACAAAGCCTGGGATGTAGTAAGCGGTACACAAGTGGCTGTTGCTATGATTATCATCACCGCACGATCGCTCGGTGCCCGGGGTGGGCTCACCGGTGACCCATGCTCTCTCCGCAGCCGCGCGCCACGTTCCTTTCCGGCTCCAGAACGCTTCCACCCTCGACGCGTCCTTGACGCTCGGGGACTCTAGGACCCGGCATCCGAGCCCGGGCCGGCCGGGCGCGTAGCGCGCACGCGCAGGCCTCCCGGGGCCGCACGCGCCCCCAGCCTAGGGAATGAGGGGGGCCGGCCCGGGAGAGGGGAGGGCGGCGGTCACACCCCGCCAGCGAGAAGTCGGCGTCCCAAGGCGAAGAGGGAGCCGCGCCTGCACCTGACAGGCGCCCCCCCGCCGCCCCCCCGGGCTCCCAACCCCCCGCCCGAA